TTTCATTTGCGGGCGCTGCCCCGCGCCGCGCCCGCCCCGCCCCGCCCCGCCAACCTGAGCGGCGCAGGATGTGGCTCCGCGGTGACGTCAGGCCCAGATGTTCCCCAGGCCACGCCCCCGCAGGGGTCCGGGCGACTCCGAGGAGCGGTAACGGCGACAGCGTATTCTGCTGTCACAACGCAATGGAAGGGCCGGGGAGTCCGCATCCTTGTGTCGCTGCGTTCTCGAACAAACAGCGGTAATTCCTACTCCAAGCAACAAGCTGCCAGGGCCAGGATCTAGCTGCTCCCGCTGGACTACCAACGCCTTTTTGATTTAGGGACGAGCTGGGTGTGATCGTCATGAACAAAGTATGTTTTTGATGGCTGGGTAAATCAGCCTTTACTTCTACAAAGAGATCCTAAGAAAGAGAGAAAAGTCTGCTCGCATCATTTTTTAAAAAGGGAAAGAGCAGTGTTGTGGGTGGGTTTTTTCCCCCCTTCTCTTTGGATTTCTTTATAAACTTACAAAAAATGGCAACAGCAGCATATGTGGATCATTTTGCAGCAGAGTGCCTTGTTTCTATGTCCAGTCGTGCTGTTATCCACAGTCCCAAAGGGGAGACAGATCCCCAACCTGATGCAGCAATACCTCCTTCATCAAATGAAGATAAGCGGGAAGTCAGAGAAACCGGGAAAGACAATGGATCATCATTACTTGTGGTAGCCAGCATTTTAGCAGATCTCAACCAGCATGTCCCAAACTCACCTGCTCTAAAGATGGAGAAAACGGACACCTTCGATATCACAGAAGAGATACACATTTCTATTACTCCTCAGGAGTTTGGGGAAGAAAGTGTGTCTTCGGCTGGTAAGCGTGGAGGAGGAAGAGCAGCCACACCTACTAGCCTGGCTGCAGTAACTGAGCCAAGCCCCAGACAAAAGAACAAACGCCCGAGAAGCTGGACTGACCCTGGATCACCCCAGAAAAAGCACAAATGCCACTATGTGGGGTGTGAAAAAGTTTATGGCAAATCCTCCCATCTTAAAGCTCATCTAAGGACCCACACAGGTTAGTTATGATCCAGCCAGAGATTTATTTGTTATAGCTTGGTAACTGAAATGAATGTTGAAAAAAAAAAAAACCAACCCCAAACCAACCCAAACTTGTATTTGGCCACTATTATGGTTTCACCTTTCAGAACTCAAGCTTGGGAAAAACCAAACAACAACAAACACCCCCATCTCCCCCCCCGGGAATAAACCCTTACTGGGCATAGATTCAAAGCTAATGTTGCCCTTTTTTATGACTTAATGTCACAGGGAATGGCATGCGGGTTGTCTGTGTGGATTGTACCAAGCTGTAATTTTTAGCCTCTAGCCTTCTTGTTCGGTGCATGTTCTACTTCCCTTTCCAATGCTTCTTACCCTCCCCCCATCTACTTTTTCCTACCCCATGCGCCTGTCAGCACCTTTATACCAGCTTCACTTCCCATGCAAGCATCAATAGTCTTGATACGTTAAAATGAAATGTTCTAGAGGCACCTGACTGCCTGCGTGTCTGTTTCTTTCTTTAGCAGACACTTGTGTGAAAGCTAGAGTAGGCAGGAAAGCAGATGAGAGGCTGAACATGAGTCACAAGGAGGCATTAATTGTAAGTGTAGAGAGAGGAGGACATGGGCAGTCTCAAAAAAGCTTTTGGCAGCTGGGTAAAACTGATTTAAAAACAAAACACATTTGAATGCAACCACTAACTTGTTCTGATCAGTGTTCAGTGTTTACTTCTTGGTGAAGACTTCTCTGACCACATTTTGTTGCTATTGTAATTTATGAGACACAGAAAAGAGTGGAGGTCTCAGAAGCACGGTGGAAGTTATGCACTGAGAGTAGTAGGAGGGCCATCTTGAAACAGGCCCCAGGACTTGCCAGACCTCGTGCCTTGGCCTGGTGCTGGGGAACAGGATGGCTTCCAGTCAGACGACCACACTCGGCTGAGGGCACCGATCACAGTGCATATGGCAAGGCTCCACACCAACTACAGCAGGCTTGTGCAAGCTGTTCCACTGAGTAATTTCAGACAACAAATTAGTTTACTGAGATCAATGGTAGGTTCACTTACAAAAAGCATTAAGATCCTCAGAAATGAACATGACTTAATGACTCTTGAACAGCCTCACCCACACCGGCCATACCTCTTCAGGGTGCCTTCAGCTTTCCCTGCTGCCTTCCTGAGATAAAGCAAGAGCCCTTCTAAATGGAGGGTATGTTTTGCTCTCCGCGAGAGAGAAGAAAGCCCGATCGAGTTTGAGCATATGGATGAACAATTCCCTGTGCGGCACAGCCAAAGGAACAGCGTGTTCCTGGCACCCCAGGCAGCCTGCCCTGCTTTGCACTGTGTAACTGCTTTTTGCCTCTTTGGGAGTAATGCAGAAAAGGTGCTTCCACTTGGCTTGCAGGGAGTTGTCTCCGTTAATTTTCAGTTCTTTTGCTTTCTTATTTCTGGCATTTACCATTGTCCTAAAAGTGAGAGATAAATTTAGCAATGTTTCTGGGCTCCCAAACCAACTAGAGACCAAGAAGAGGAACTCCTGTGCCTGATAAAGAGAGGAGGGCTGGGCCATACCCGCCCTCCGGGGAGAGGAGAGGGAGGGAAGGCCGGTGGGGAGTGTCGCTCCGGGCTGCCGCCGGAGCCGAGTCATTCGGGGACGCTGGCTTGCCTCCAAGTTCTCTGTTTTTTTTTCCTTTCCTCCATTTTTTTTTTTTAACTCTTAATTTCCTGTATTTTTTCCAGGTCTGTAGCGTTTAATTGGTTATTGCTATAGCTGATGGCACTGAGGGAAGAGAGTGTGCGTGTCTGTGAGAGCTATAGTAGAAGCAGGGAAGGGACTGGTTTTGCCTAGGAGTGGCAGCACCCTCGGGGTCTACAGCTTCTTTATTTTCTTGCGTCTCCAGTGTCTGTGTGGGAAGCTTTAAACAAAGCTGCCAAGTTTCCCTCCTCACTGGCAAGAGGTCTGTCTCTGTTTGGATTGAGTTTTAAACAGGCTTAAATGCCTCTTACAGAATGTTTTCAAAGGTGTTTGAATTTTTTCCTTTCTTGTGACAGGCTTGAAAAAAGTTTGTATGATACTAGGAGTTAAGCTAACAGAACAAGCGATGATTTCCAGGACTGGCAAATGTTTGTTTTTACAAACCACATAATGAGTTTTACTGATTTAGAACAAGGGGTTTGGGTCTCCTCTTCAGTAGTCCTGCAGTAATTAAGTAACATGCACACATCAGTCTGCCCATCTGTCAAATGGATAGGTTATTCACCTCACTAAGCAGTGGTGAAAGTGTTCCAAGTACACATGCAAGGTGCTTTAAACCTCTACTCCAGTAACCCCCAAACCTGTTTACTAAGAAGAAATCAAAAACTTACACTATGGAGTGAAGCTCCATCCATGTGCTGTATGTCTAGGTGGGCTGCTATTTAGGGGTGAACTGAAGGCTGAGAACAGTACTGCAGGCTAGAAGATACTGATAATAGTGCTAGAGATATTTGAATAGTGCGGTTTATGACCTGCTTTAGAAGTTGTTTGTCCTTGTCTGCTACTGTGCTCAGAAACTAAAGACTTTGCCATGCTTGAAGGACAGACTAGATAGTTGAACTTACAGTGTGGCAAAGAAATACAGAGCCTTCCAAGTATTACTGGGTCTAATCCAGCTGGAACTGTTTTCCAGCTGTTTGGTGCCCCGTGTGAAAATCTCCTGATAGTTACAGCCATATTTCAGTGCTCAAATGTCTAAAGCAAAAACCATAGTGCGGAAGATGCTAATTATCCTATTTAAAGCTGAAGAAACAAGATGGGACAGCCAAGGAGGCAGCATCTGCCTTTTGTCCTTAGGCCCTTGCTTCAAGTATACTGTTTAAGAGTGAAGTTTTCTATTAGAACATAATGTGCTAGAGCAATCCATAGTTTGTTATGTTTGGTACACTAGCGGTTAAGCTATCTCAGCCTTATGCATGCTTCATCTTTATTAAATTGACAAACCCTTGAACCAGGCAGAGAACATTAGTCACCAGAATCTTTGCTGTTCTCTCCAACAGCTTTCAAACCCTTCCCCTCCCCTTGTGTTTTTTTTTCATGTTTATGTTTTCCACCCTACTCTCTCACTGGATGTCCTGGAGTTTAACGTGATCATCAGCCACAAAGCCCTTGAAGTTTTAATGTTTACCAGAAGGTTATATTTAGTGTCAGTGGGTAGATGTCAAGTCCAAATTCTTTTCCACTGAGGTTCCTGTGAACCTCAGAAGCTGTGTTGTGATCCACAGATGAAGCACCCTGTTTCTCCCAAGCTATATTGATCCCATTGATGCAAAAATTTCACTGGCACACAAGTTTTAAAAATCCTCTCCACTCTGGAGAAAATTTCTAAGCACAAAGGATTTCCAGAAAAAGTCAAATAAACTATTTACATGACAAAGTTCTCCTTCCTCTAAGCAGGTTTTCAGCACAGGGTCACTAGGAAGGTTTTGAAGTTCTCTGGTCACTACGAACTAGTTTGTCTCCTTTGATGCACCAGTGGTAAGAGTGACAGTGCAGAGGCTAGTAGCCTTCTACAGGCTACAACCTCCTAAAGCATTGTCCAGGACAGCTATGTTCTGAGAGATTGTAGAGTGCCCCAAACTTAGTGCATTATAATACATATTTATACGCAGAGAAAAACTGTCTGGATTTTGGGTAGGGGTCACAAGAATCCTATCTATTGCAGATCCTGAACCCACCACACTGTGACCTCTCAAGCTTTTAGCCATCTTCATTAACATGCTGTCATGAATGCAGAGAAAGCACAAAAGAAACCTTCATTTAATTCAGTTGAAATGGCCTAAACTTACTAATTCTACTCACTAAGCAGTACATCATAACACAGAAACAGTGTTTCAATCATTAGAATTAAATGTGTTTGCACAAATTGGCATAAGCTGGGGGCACCAGTCTTAGTCTGGAGTCTTACAGTGAAGAGTCTTGCAGTGAAACAAACCTGGGGGCCAGGTGGTTTAACAGTGGCTCCTCTGTACTGTTGCTAAACCAACTGTCTTCTATATGGCTGTTGGGACACAGGAAGAAGAGAAGGCCATCCTAATTACATTATCCTTGCTCACAGCTGTTAGGTTAGGACTCATTCCGTAGAAAGTGGTCAAGACCTTTGTTGGTGTCTAGCTAGCAGAGTGAGCTTAGGTTTGAGACTGTATTCGGACTGCTTAACCTTGCAGTTACAGAGGGTATGTTATTTGGGATCAGTTGTTCTTTTTAGTCTAACCCTTATTCATTAAATATTAGCTGAATCAAAATAAATAGGAAAGACTGATTCATTTCCATTCACTTGTAAAGAAATTTCCATTTCTTTCCATTAAATCTCTATAATCACATTTTTGAGGACTTTAATAAACCCATATGAAAAAAGTTAGCTCTAAGCTTCTGTACCTGTTTTTCCCCCCAATGATTATACCTTGTTTCCCTAAGCAAAATTTTTTCTGATGACTTTATAATGGGGTATTTGAAGATAGGGAAATTCATAATGTATTTTGTCTTTGAAAGCAATCTGAGAAATAAAGCAATCAGACCTCACTGTGACAAGCATGACAACAGCAGAACGATTAGGCTGGACAAACTGGAGTAGTATTTGGCCAGTGTTTACATTGGTAAAAAGGCCTTTATATAAAGTACAGATAGTACTTTTTAAACAGAAGGTTGTTTTTCACTTCCAGTTCTAGTACATTTGATTTGCTCTGTTCAAAAATGCAGTAGTAAAGCACAACTTCTTTGAAGTTGGTCTGAATCAAGATGCTACCTGTGTGCATGTGAAGAAATTGTTTAACCAATGTAAGGAAAAGCAAGTTCACAAGAAAGTTTATCTTCTATTTTAGCATCTGGCAATTACCAGAAATGTAGCTGGCTCAGGTTTCCTTTAGCTTGCCTGTAGGCACACAGTGACTCTAGAAGGGGTATACATGCATGTATGTAGCAAGTGGGCGTGTGTAGCAAAGCATGTGTTTGTGAGGACCCAAGCCTTTGCAGGAGAAGATTACAA